CCAAGACTCATCTGAGCACAGACAGAAACATGCATTACATTTCTTTTCTTCTTTTTAAGAGAGATTTTTGCTATATGGCATGTGTAGTCACCAGAGACACAGAAAGAGAGAGACAGAGAAAGACAAAGTGAGAAATCACCTCTCACCCCCAACAAGAAGGATGGCCAGGTTGCAATCCCTTCTTCTCCATTTTCCTCTATCGGAATTTTGGGCATTAATGCCACACACCTGGCGTGAGTTTCAAGCCACCAGATCTGGGACTCAAACCGCAGTGAGTCATGTGGGGATCTAGTTCCTTAACCATTACACATCCTGCTGGCCCCCATACACTGTATTTCAACTGCTAGAGAAAATATCATGATCTTACATTTGTAGGCGGTATAGCACAATGAGAAGAGCAAACATGAACTCTTAAATTTGAGTGGTTGGGCTCAAAACCCAGACAACAGTATCTAATTACATGACTCTGGACAAGCAATTTAACTTCTCAACCTGAGTCTCTTCATCTCCAAAATGAACATGACAACCCCATTTTGGGAATTAAGAATTGAAGCTTTACAATCTTGGTAACTGCATGTCATAGGTACTAAACAATGTTAGCTTCACAAAGATGTTAATGGTACTGTTATCTAAACTAATAAGATCTTATCTGAACTACTAGTATGCTTTAGATCATTAGCACTCCAATTTTAGAGCATATTGAAACTTTTTTAATCATTTATTTTTACATCTTCCAACAAACATTTACTTTACATGTCAAAAAAAATTTTGTTCATACTTCATAGTTCTTGACAGTTAATAAGTAACTTTCAAAATTTAAAAAAACTGAATTTTAAAGATAATGTTTGAAACATTTTTTATAATTTCGTTTGTGACTATTACAGTAGAGACAGTATGGTTTTAAATACTTTTGAGAAAATATTTACATGTCAACTACTCAAACTGTTAAAAAGCAAACACCCAGCACACAATTCATACTTAAACCCTCTCAATTCAGCCCTGCCTACCAAGTATTCTGTAATACACCATCTGCTCACAAAGGTTGGTCTCTTTTTCCCTTCAAAGTCTTCCTCAAGATAATCCTCTGGTGTGGTTGCTCTTTTGCAATCCCTACTGATTACAATGCTGGGCCAGAAAAGTCCAGGTTATTTTATGGTACAAATTCTTTCATATACCTTCTCTAATCTTCTCTGCCAAGCAGAACTATTCATGGTGCCAGGCCATCTTTCCAAGAGCTTCTGTTGTCTTACTTGAGATCTACCTTAGTTCAATAGTTTTCTGGTTTAATCTTCAGATATGACATTCCAGTCAAAGCCCTATCCAATAATGAGTATTTCCAATTTCTGACTCAAGGCAACAGGTATTATTGAACTTATGCAAATAACCATTCTGCCACAAAATAGAGAATACTCCAGAGGAGTCAGGAAGGGAGAAAAGTTCATTTCCATTTAAAGAAACAAAGAAGAAGAAAAAACATTTTAACAAATTGCTGAACCTATCAACAGCTCAAAAGAAAGCAAACTCCTTAAATCGGGCAAACAAAACATAGTAAAAACAGATCAGTAATGTTTTACTCAAAGGTCATAAAATTCTATCTCTAATCTCTCTTCTGTTGAATTTGCAGTGTTACTGTGCTCCGATCTTTCCATTTAAATCCTGGAAGTTAACATTCAATGTTATTACAGATACTTCTTGTCCCTAGCATAAAGTTAATCATTTTTCTTGGTTGCTTTTTGTTCTCTTATTTCTATATGTGTGTCTTTAGTTTTCCTGGAAAAGCACTCCTTTCAGATTTTTCTCAAAGAGCTGGTCTGGTGTTGGTAAATTCCTTCAGGTTTTATTTATCTGAGAATGTTTTTATCTTTTCTTCCTATATGAAGGATAATCTTGCTGGGTATACTATTCTTGGTTGAAACTGTTTTTCACTTAACATTTTGAATATATTTTCCCATTCTTTCCTTGCTCACATTGTTTCTGATGAGAAGTCTGATGTTAGCCTGATTGGATAACCTTTATAAGTAACCTGACATTTCCGTCTTGCCAATTTTAGTATCTTGTCTTTGTCAGTGGATTTGGCCAATCTGGCTATGATGTACTTTGGAGAAGATCTTTTTAGGTTGATTCTATTAGGGATCCTTTGCATTTCTTGGGTCTGGATATTTGAATGCCTCTCTAGATTTGGAAAGTTTTCTTACAAGTTTTCATGAAACAGATTATCAACATTGTTATTAGTTTCTTTGCCTTCTGGGATACAGATGTTTGGGAGCTTAATTTTATCTAGTATTTCTCGTATAGTATTCTCATTTTTTTTTTTTTTTGGTTATTTTTCTCAGTGTTTTTGGTTGTTTTTTTCTAGGTCAGAGGTTTTGCCTTCATCATCTTATACTGAGATTTGATCTTCTCCATGGACTAATCTGCTTTTAATACGTTTGAGGGACATTTTGATTTCTTGTATTGCAGCCTTCATCTCTAACAGTTCCATTTGATTTTTTATGGTATGTATTTCCTCTTTCAGATTGTACACGAACTTCTTCACCTCCTGGAACTTGTCTCTTTTTTCCTGCATCTTCTGGAGTGCACTCTCTCAGCTCTTGCATCTCAATTAGTTTTATCACTATGAATATTCTGAATTCTCTATCGGACATTTCCATGAGTTCTACTATACTATCTCTGGATGATGAAGGATTATTCTTTTCCCTTAGGGGAGAGATATTTCCTTGGTTTCTCCTATTCCTTGTGCCTCTGTGGTAGTTTCTGGTCATTCTGTGACAAAACTTTTCCTCTACTGTGATTTGCAACATGCCTGTCTGAGTGTTTCAGAGTTCTAGAAGATGGGGTTTAGTGCATAGCTTCAGTCGCCTTGGTCCCTAAGGAGACAGATTTACAATGTCTTCTTGTCTGAGTGTTTGGGGGGGGGGTCCAGAAGATTGAGCATATTGAAACTTTTAAAGTACTCTCATGTATATTACTACTTAAGAATTATTGAAAAATACAAGAGGAATTTTCACAAAGAAAGATCTTAAATTTTTAACTTAAACAGATCTAGCAAATAAAAAGGCACCTATCTAGCAAGATGCTTTACTTTCCTGGTAATGACATAAATCTTATTCACAAATTGTACTTTACTTCTGTTTTTCAAATATTTTAAGTGATTTGGTGTTCTAACTTAATTCTGCTCTTAATAGTGCAACTATACCTTTCTTGACAAAGACCAAGAAAGAAGAGAAGACATATTTACATTAAATTTTAAAACAAATCTCATCTGGAGGATTCAAAGGTTACAGATTTGTTTCACCATTTCTATTTGATGCAAAGCAGAAGTGAATCAAAGGAATGAAGACTGAACAGATAAGATCACTTAAATTTAGTCTTTGTAAAAGGAATGCTGACTGAACAGATAAGATCACTTAAATTTAGTCTTTGTACTTACTTCAATTGTATGAATAATATCTCTGGGACCAATAATTTCTGGATCATATTTTATATGTGCTTTGTTGGTTGCGAGGGCCACAGAGCAGTAGAAGATCCCTCTGTGTTTTGTGAGAGTGGACTCTATTTTATGTACACAGGAGGCACATGTCATTCCTCTCACCTGTCAAAGAAAAAACCTTTATTTGAAAACATACTTTTTCCTCCATTAAACATGAATTATTACTTTTAACCAAGAACTCTTACAACATAGTTACTATGCAAGATCTTAAATACACCATGAATATGCTTTAGATATGATCATTACAATACTATTTTTAAAAAGTTATTTTAATTTTATTTATTATATTATTCTTTTGTAGTTTGCTATAGGGATCATGCACTCACCAGAGACAGACAGAAAGACAGAGAAAGAGAATGAAAGTGAGAAAACAAGCCACCAGGTCTGGGACTTGAACCACAGTCAAGTCATGTGGGAGCCCAGCACCTTAAGCCACCAAGCCACCTGCTGGCCTCTACAATATTATTTTTATAGTACATCAAACACAGATATTATACTATTTTCAACAGATCAGATAGATAAGAATCCAATTAAAAGTCTCCCAGACCAGCCATTGGCATGGTGGTTAACATGGATGGATCCTACAAGGGCAACTGTACAGTTTTAGCCCTGGACATGGAGGCTTTAAAAACACTCTGGGTGTATGTGCATACATGCCCAAAATCTCAAAAGAAGGTTTTAAAAATGGAAGAGAAGGGATTGTAGCATGACCTTCCCCTGGGAACAGCTTTCTCACATTCTCTCTCTCTCTCGAGGGAATGCAGGCACCCTTTAGCAAATAATAAAAACATAATAAAATACAATGAAAGTCTTGTTTAGAGATCTTAAAAGGGAAAGTAAATTGCAGCTGAAGTTCACTGTTGTAGGCTGGGGGGACTCTGAGGCTTTCAATAGCAGCAATTTCTTAGAGAGCAAACTGTAAGGTAGAGGACTTGAACTGCAGTCAGCCATGCGGGAGTCCAGCACCTTAACTACATCAAGCTACCTGCTGACCCTGCAGAAATTTTTAAGTCTTCCTTTTCCTGCTATTACTACTTAGTAATAGAGAATTTCACATCTATCATTCTTTCTTTTTTTAAGGTTTACTTATTTTTCTTCATGAGTGAGAGAGACAGAGGCAGAGAGGCAGGCACCAGTACCAGTGTCTTCATACCACAATCTACCCTGCCTCATCCAGCCCCAGATGATGGGCACGAGCATACCCACTATGTTCAGGGAAGGCTCCAGATATGAACCTAAAACCCTCCTGTATGGATCACCCTCACAGAGCATTGTATTACGACTGCGCCATATTTTGATCCCTATTACTGCTTCCTGTATCCA